ACTCTGTGGGATGGGTGACCTCTGTTTTTGCTGCACTTGAGGTCAGCGGTGGGAGAAAAGATAGAAGAAGAAAGAAAGAAGGAAGGAGAAGAGCAGCCATTTCGTGCTTTATACTCTTGGATTGCGCGTTCTTGGATCCAAGTCAGGCAATCCTTGCTGAAGGCTGTGTGCTGGCCTTGGCAATTTGGGAAGCAAGGACTAGCCTTGCATTCCTTTTCAGGATGCCCATTCTTGCCGCAGCAAGGACACACGGCTGCACGTCGGCATCACGACTGACTATGGCCAAACTTTTGACACTGAAAGCAGCGTAGAGGGTTTGGCACATAGGGTCGCACGTCCAAGACCAAGTACGATGCCCGAACGGTGGCTGGAGGGCGGCACGAATCAAAAGTTAGAATTATTGTGATCGTTTCTAGTGTGGACTCCCCCCGCCGAATAGTGGCTTCGACCACACCCTCACAGTTATCCACAATATCTTGGTTGGAGCAGCCCTTCAGCTCATGGCTGCGGACCATGCCCTTCGACTGGTTAAATTTCTGGTGTCGCTCGGAAACACAAGGAACACCACCGAAGGTCGTTATCTTTTCAAGTCCGGCCAGTTCTTTATCCGATGCACACTTGATGAGGAGAGCACCAGAGGACAGTTTCTGGACATTCGAAGGAATGTATCCCAGAACCTGTCTTAGAGCATCTCCTATCCTGAATACGTTTAGATCAGTGATATTTTTCTGTGCATCGGTGCTGCTGATGGTCAAGTACGGCTGCCGCGGAAGCTCCCTGAGAGGGGGGAGGGCAGAGGCAGTCGTAAAGGTCCTTTTTCCTTTTGTAGTTTGTTTGCTCGGCTCAGCGGCTGCACCCGCTTCCACGAGCCGAGACTTTTTTATAACGTTGGGAGTTGGGGAACGATTTCTAATAGTAGAGGAATCCATGTGAGTTTTTTTGTTGGTTCAACTCCGGGGCTCCCCGCCCGCCATCGAGCCCAACAAGGGGACACATTGCTTGGATGACCAGAGCTGTGCCAGGGCTACCCCGGAGCTATACTCTCCACGAGAGTGCATAAAACCCTCCCGTCAAGATTGACCCAGAGCTTGATGTTGTTTCAACTCCCAAACGATTGAGTGCCACTCTCCCGTCTAAGAGGAAAACCTGGGCCAAAGAGGTGTGTTGGTGAGGGACAGTCCATAGACTGATCTCACCTCAACCGCCAGGTGCCCGGTTTCCCTCCACACGGGTCACACCTCACGGTCAACAAAGCGCTCACTCTGTGGGATGGGTGACCTCTCTTTTTACTGCACTTGAGGTCAGCAGTGGAAGAAAAGATAGAAGAAGAAAGAAAGAAGGAAGGAGAAGAGGACGATACACCAAAGTGAGTGTCGCACACGGATCCCAGAGGGTTGGGGTCTGTGTGCGACACTCCGCCTTTGAGGGGGTTGCACCTTCTGCAGGCGAAGCAGTGGGTCTATTTATATCCCCCCCGACCCACTGGGGGTCGACGGCGGTCTAGTGGGGGATTTGGAGGAGTGACAGACTCCGCCCTTCCCGGGGTCAGGCCGGGGAGGGGGGTCGGAGCTGTCTTCCTCCATAGGCAGGGGTTTGTCTGCTGGAGGGGTAGGGGGAGGTGGAGCAGACCGAGGGGGCTTGGAAAGGGGGGGAGGGGGCTGGGGGGAGGGGAGAAGGCCCACCTCACACTCCATCAGAGGGATGGGCTGTGAGGTGGAAGAAGAAGGAGAAGAAGAAGAAATGATAGAAGAGAGGTGAGGGGGAGAAGACAGGGTGGAGGAAGAGTCCTCCCCGTCCTCCCCTAGAACCCCATAGCGGTAAGAGAGTGGCACCTCCAAGGGGGTTGCCAAAGGGATAGTAGCGGCCTTTCTGTTCTTAGGCACAGAGACTTGCCTGTTGACCGCGGGTTTTGGGAGGTCGGCAGTAAAATTACTTGCCGACCTCGTGACCTCCTGGGCTGCCATTGAATAAGACAGGCCAATGACTGGGGTTGTGATTGGCGGGCAGACAACCTTACGAGCCTCCTGGAAGGAGCAGCCATTTCGCGTCTTGTATTCTTGGATGGCGCGTTCTTGGAGCCAAGTCGGGCACTCCTTGCTGAA